ACGTTTCAATGATTGTTTTTATCTTTAAGGAATCCCTTACTCTGAACGGGTCATATTTAGAATAATTTTTTTTTCAACCCTAACTTTTGGATACCCCTCAAGTAATTTATTATCTCAACTCCTGTTAGCTGACGTGACTTCATTCTCTTCTCAATTGTACCATCAAACATAGCAGATAATTTTCTATACTTATGACTCAATGGCAACCACCTGCAATTAAACCAATAATAACTCTTTCGGCTATGGGGTAACTGAAGAACTTCTTTCGAACCACATATAGGACAAGCACACTTACCCTTCGTAGACCAACTAGACAGATTAGCATAAGCAGAAAAATTATTAATCATCCACAATAGAATATCATGTAATCTAAACAACTCTTTAAGATGAGCATCATATGTCAATATACCCTCAGATCATAACTGTTTCAGCTCATCAATTAGCGGCTCAAATAGACATCAATATCATTACCCGGTGTGCGTGCTTATCAGGTATCAGTAATGAGAGTATCATATACGACTATTTCATTCAAAGCAATGGAGGTAAACTATATGGCATTAATACAACTGGCCACGTAGACCAGCCAGAACTCATTACCCCAAACAGATTGAATCCGTCGTTAGATAGACCCAGTCTGACATTTCTACAATCATCAGGAAAACGAGGATAAATTTTATAAATATGCTTCCAAGCTAAAGCATCAGCAGGATATCTCAATTTACCATCATCTACTCGATCTTTCTTGTGCCACCTCATGTTCTTTGGTGTGTCATTGTTCATGTAAAATCGTCGCAATCTAGGGACCAATGGAAAATGACGAAGCACCTTTGCTGAAATTTTCTTATGTGCCACCTCTGTCTCTGTTATACTCCTTGTTGAAGAGTTTGTGCGTTGCTTCCATCTAGAAAATTCACATGTCAGACACTCTTGAAGGTCTTTATTGGTTTTATGGTACATGATACAATCATTCGGACATACATCAATCTTATTATAATCAAGACCTAGAGCGGAGATAATTTTCTCAGCTTGATAAGTTGTTTGGGGTATGCTAATCTCTCCTCTAGAAATTATTGTCTGAAGCAAATCAAGAAGCATTTCAAAATAATTATCAGACATTCCGCTAAGTCTCTTAATATGTAGGAGTTTCTATATAAATAAAAATCTGGAGTACTCGGTACAACCCTCATATAAGTCCTTTTCACTATCTTATAGTAACTTCATTATTCATTTTATGTCTGTGGAGGAATGCATATCTTCAACATTTTTTGCACCTTCGACATCTCCGACCTCTTTAGCATCATCTTCGATATCATCTTTACTTTTATCTCCAATATCATCCTCAACATTAACATCAATGTCATTTTCGGTAGGACGAGAAAAAATATCATTCAACATTGTTTCTGTGTTGTCTATCCGTAAGCCACCGAACGTACCAACACACACATTCAGATCCTCATCTTCAGTACAGCCTTCCCCATAATATGACAAATATTTATATTTTTTATCAAAACCTGATTTTATTAGGTGGACCTATATATCATTTTTATTCTGCAACTTCATATTCCTATACCTACAATAGGGACAATACATAACACCGTTACTTAAATTTCCCGGATTCATTTCGACATACTGCATGAAGGCGTCACATCCCTCCTTATATTGCGTGTCATGAAATCTTTCAAGCTGTGGAATATCTATCCATGATTTATCAGGAATTATCCTCATCTGTAAATTATATATAATTATTAACTACGATTAATCTCACTACTACTAGTAAATTCATGACTCTTTGTGACAATATACATAAAACACACATCATACTTGCGTACATATATCATTTAACAATAAAAATATTTTCTGCATAAAATATCTCTGAAACGTATATAGAAACTAATTAGACCACTCTAGCGGCTGGCTGTCATAGGAATGTTTCTATCTATTAAGAATATAGTAGTGCTTATATCTAACTTCGTATACTTTGTATATTTTTGTTTCTTGAAAATTTCAGCAACACCTACCCGATGTTCTCCTTGTACACTGTGCAAATATTATTATGTGTATCGACAATAGACCGAAACACAAAACAACATGTGCTTATTGTACATGGAGAACAACGAATACGTGCTGCCGAAACTTTCAAGAAATGCAAACATACAAAGTATACAAGTTGGATGTATGCACTACTATATTCCTAACCCGTCCGAGAAGGACAGATCTAATAATTACGAATTTTAATACTAATTTTTTCTTCGTATAATATAAATTAAATGATCATTTTTGGGAGAAAACTTTGTCTCCTACCCAAATATGAGTCATCTATCTTATATTATAAGTACAAAAAATTGGATGTAATTATTGGACGGAAGTCTAGGGATAACGTTGTTTGTTCATTCACCTAAATTGGATATATAACACATTATTAAAAATTATAATGTTATACATCACACTATTTTTTGAAAAACTTTTATGTCACATATTTTCACATGAATCGGGTGTTCAATTAGGAATAATAGTTCACAAGTGTTTAATTTAGATTTATGAAGTGTTGTTCAAATGGGGTAAAATGTAGTTGAGTTAGGGTTAATATATAACTAATTTTTTTCCAATTAGGGTTACAAGATTCGAACTTATTTATTTTTGGATCATAATTTAGGGTTTTTAAACTAAATTCAACAATAAACAATATAAAATTTTAAAATTTTTATGAAAATCATACCTTTGAGATGAGAGACGATAATATCCAAAAATGACGGGCACGCCATGCGAGGTCGCGGTCGAGCCTAAGGAAGAGCGGGCGGGGACGACACGTGAGGTGGGGGGATTAGGTTTTAGTTTTTTTTCTAAATTGAGGGAGCGATTAGAGGGATGAGGGAGGAGGGCGGCATAGGGATGGCCGACGGGCGGGGGCGGGTGCCGAAAAAGAGGAAGAGGGAGAGGAGAGAGGCGTGGGGCGGCGGGGTGAGCAAGGCTAACGGCGGGGAGTCGGGGAAGGGGGAGGAGGGCAGTATGCGGCAGGGTGGGGGGGGGAGATCTAGGGCTTTTACTTTGGAATGGGGCAGGGGGCGGGTAATAGTTAGGGTTCTTTTAATTTTTGTAGCAACCTAGACGAAAATTCCGTCTGGGATGCAACCTAAACGGAATTTTCATCTATGATGGCTAGAATATTTTATTAAAAATATTTTTCCGCCTAGTTTGGTAATTTAGACGGAATATTCTGTCTAGATTGCTTTAAACTAGACGGATCAAGCTAGACGGAATTTTTTCTGTCTAATTTGCCTCAAACTAGGCAGAAAATAATTATGTTTAGTTTGCTCCGTCTAGTTTGCTCCGTCTAGTTTGCTCATTTTTCTACTAGTGGTTTCAGAAGAAACTTCTTTCGAAAGAGCCTCGTGCTTTTAGTTTTTAGTTTTTCCTCAAACGATAGCTTTATTTGTTTCTAATAAATGCTTCTTATTGTAAAAGAAATCCTAACCCATGGAAATGTTTTAGGGGCTGTTTGGTTGAATGTTTTTATAATGTAAAAGGATGGAAAGTGTAAAAAAGTGGCTCCTAATGTCAGTTTTCATCACTTTACATTGTTTGTTTAAATTATCTTTTATGTGAAAACCTTACACCTTTTGATGAGATGTCACCGAAAGCAAAATCACCAAAATTAGGAGTGGTTTTGTTGTAAAGCTGACACAATGTCATAAATGTGTCAAAAATAATAATAAAATAGTCAAAACTCTGTAGAAATTGGTGAGGTGGATAACCACTTTCCATTTTGTGTTATAAATACTCTAGTTTACATTATACTATCCAAACAATGTAATACTATTATTTTTGGATTCACAAAGATTCCTAACCAAACAATGTAAACACTCGAATGGAAAGTGATGATGTGGATAACCACTTTCTATTTTATGTCATAAATACTCTAGTTTCCTAAAGGCATCCAAACAGCCCCTTATCCTAATTCTCTATTCCTTAAATCTCTATACATTCCTTGAGAAAAGGACTTTCCTCACATTAGACCCCAAAATTTATCCAAGTTTTACGTTGAATTCTTGATTCTCCATATTTGCAAAACATAATCATCATATTTGTTGGAAAATGGAAGTGTTAATTAAAAAGCTTATTGGGCTTGAAGGAGTAAATTGGAAAAAATGATGGCGTGATCAAAATAACTAGAAGACTCGAGGGTCTAATATTAATAAAATAAAGGTACCCACCCCCCCCACCTCTAGTAAATTGGTTCCTTTACGCTGTTTTATATTATGAAATTAGTCCCTTAAATAAATCTTATTTGTCTTCCAAGTTTATCCCCTTTTAGTTATTTGTCTAAATTGGGTTGAGTTACTTGTTAATCACAATTAGTAAGTAACATTTTGAACCTCATTCAGTACATCCTCAACAAAATCTCAAAAAGTTCAAACATGCGAGTTTAAATAAATAGGTGTAAAAGAGTTTACGAACTCGGTCAAAGGATTAAAATAGTTCAGGTTTAACTTAATACACAGGGATGTGGTAGAAAACCCGTGTCAAGTTAAACAGAGCATTCCTCAAAGTAAAAGATAGCTAACTGCAGGGACTAATTAGAAAAAAAAACTTTTAGCATTTTCAATAATCTAAGGGACTAAGTTAAAAATATTACAAATGTAAGGAACCTATATCATCAATAAAACCCACAGCTATTGCGATCGCACTACCCAACACGACTCCGTTATCTACCGACAACAGCCCCAGCCTACTCCCGTCCAATCTAACGCCGTCAACTAACGTCCCCCTCTCGCCTTAACACCCCACTACAAATACCCCCCCTCAAACTCCCTCCCTCCCTCGAGTCCGCTCACCTCCCCGAGCCCCACCCGCGATGGACCGCACCGCCTACAACGGGTCAAGTTTCAATTCCATCCTCGCCCGGATCCGATCCGATAACGAGGAGTTCCGAGTTCAATCAGCGAAGGAGATAAGGAAGCTGACGAAGACCTCGTCGGAGAACCGGC